AGGGATGCTGTTTCTCTCTCTAGAAAAATTGGCAGAGCTTCGCTATAAGAATTTCGCACAAGGAGGAGTGCCTGGCCTTGGGGTATTTATAGGCGCTGGAATCCGGGCTTGGGCCCGGAAACCGGGCCTCTGGATGGACCGTCATCATTACACGTCGTGTCTTCGCCCAACCGGTGACGCCGCCCACGGACAGCCAACCGTCACGCGCCACGTGTACCCCCCAACGGCTATAACCTGACGTTACATATTCCAACGGCTATATTTCCAACGGCTATATTCTGGAGGCCCCCGGGTTCTTTACTTCACTCCACTTCATCAAGGAGAGCCTCCGGGTACACTTACCCGGAGACGCCCCCGGGCAATGCCCCACACAGTACATAACAGACGCCTTCGGGATCACTCCTTCAGAAGCCCAAGGCTTCATATCAGGCCACCCCTCGGGAATACCCCCTCAGCACTGTAAAGGCCGGGTAGCCCCCGGGAAGTATGCCTCATTGACAGATAGCCTACTGCACACGGGTAGGGGGGCCCTCGGATATCCTCACCACCAACTAATCAACAAGCAGGGGACACCCCGGTAACAATTCAACTACTGCCCTCATCCATCACGCCCTCGATCCCCAGATTGAGGCCCCCCCCCCTTCGGCACCTCCCAGGACATCAACAGCAAGCCTTCGGCTAATCAACACATGAGCCCTCAGAACAAGGAGAGCCTTCGGCATTACCATTATTCTCCATTATGAACCGAGGTTTCACATTTTCGATTCATCGTTGGGGGAATTCGGTGCACTCTTTTTCCCTCATTAGGATTTTTTTCCCACAGGGTTTTTCCTAATGAGGTTTTTAACGAGGCATCCCCCTAAAATGAAACGAAAAGCGTCAGCCTTCGGCCCCATGCTACAACGGACTAAACTCTACTCCTTTTCACCACTTTACAAGTGCCTCAAGGAGTGGGGGACTGGAGGACCCCCTCGGGAAAATCATTAAAATTACAAAATGGTGAAAATTTCCAACAAACGGCAAAGCAAGCCCTCAAGTCCCGACATGTGGGTAACTAAGGGACTGCCTTCGGCAGGGACATGAAAGCAACAACTCCTCACCAACTTCAGAGATTACAATGGGACAACATCAAGGGGCAAGCACAAATTACTCCTTTTTCCCTCAAGTACCTTTCGGCAAAAGGAGTGAGGGACTCCTGATGGAGTATATGGCCCGGGAAACCCCGGCCTGCAGACTCCTACTACACCAAAAAAGGCCCAACCGGCCCAGGAAGCTCAACAGGCCCAAATCACAGCGCCCAGAGTACCAAGCAGCCCGCAATACGCACCAGGGGTGCCTTCGGCCCCCTGGCAGAAGGCTCTAAACTCTCACAGAACGGGTTTCTCAAGCAAACTAAGAAACTGGGGGAAAAACGGCAGAAAACAGTAGCCCTCGGCACCTGGAGCCCTCGACACTCAGGGGTCCTCAGCACTAAGAGCCCTCGGCTAGTCCTCTGCAGCCGAGGGCACCTCTCCCGACATGATATCCGCATCACATGCGTACAGATCACCGTACCCTGTACAAACGTCCCATCCAACAGCCGCATTAAATGCGGCCACATGCGGCTGCCAGCGCCAACCAGTTGAGGTGACCTCTCGGCCAATGGGCGCTTGACACGTGTCCCTATCTAGCATTTATTGCTACTATAAATAGCACCCCATTTCCCCATTTGTAACCACGCTGAAAACGCTCCACACTTTGCAATACACTTTCTCTCTCTATATTTACTTGCTCTGACTTCTCTCTTATTACTTCCCGTAATAACCCCTCGGATAAGCTACCCCCCGGGTACACTATCCATCGGCGATTGAATGGACTGTATCTGCTGAATTATGTAAATAATTATATTTAAAATATATTTTACTAATAAATAAAGAAAAACTATATTAAAAATAGCTAAAGTGATCCTTTATAATGGATTCATCCGATTTAGCCAACTAAAAAATAATTGCAACCTTACTTTTTTTTATTATTACAGAATTCAGCGTGCAGAACCAAATAGGAGGAGGGGGGACGGAGCCAAGAGATAGCTAGTATCAGTGGTGTCAATGTAATGTTACAAGTATAGTTTTCTCTAAATTCTATTTTTATAAAAGTTTAGGTAAAATTTCATATAGAACTCTAAAACAAATATTATATTAAAAGTTAATTAATACTCCCTCCGTCCCATATTTATCTCCTGAAGTACAAATGGCACACAGATTAAGATAGTGAGAAATGTGTGGTGGAGAGTTGTGCAAAGGAAAGAGAAATGTGTAAGAATGTGTAAGAATGGTTGTGAACCACAAGTTCTTTGCTAAAAAGGGAAAGAAGAGATAAATTTGGGACAGACCGAAAAGGAAAGTATAAAGATAATTCCGGGACGGAGGGAGTATGTGTTACCCTTTTATACCAGTTTGTGAAACACTCATAACAACCACAAAATTATTAAGTTTCCGTGTCAAATTCTATTCATACTATATTAATTCCCTTTGCAACACTCATCAAATATATTTTGAACCTATGAAATCGTTACCATGTAATTTTTTTTTAAATTTAAATGTAATTTTTGTTGGAAAATGTGTTAAAATTGCATTAAAGGGTCATTTTGGGGCAATTATTTGAGTGAGGTCCACTTCCGATTTGGTCGGGTCAAAGTGGTTTCGGATTGTCCTTGTTAAGGAGAACAATTCGATATATGGTACGCTCAAAACAGATAACGGGTGAATGAGAAATTGATTCTCGAAGTTCACTCGTTGAAAATGGAAAAACTAGGAAAATGATGGGTTTCTAGTGTGCTTTATACCACATCGGAAAACTCAAGGGATTTTCACCCCCTTATAAAACGAAGTCTCTTTTAAGGAGTTAAGATTCCTAGAGGTAAAGGCTCCCTCTTGCACGCAAGGGGGGTGCCAATCAATTCCCGAAAACGAAGAAGAAAAACTGCGACTCGTGTGCGCGGGCGACCTGCGGACATGAATGTCGTCCGAAAAATATATCATTCAAAGGTACAATTTAATTTTTGTTTCTTCCTGTAAACGTTCTTTTATTTTTTCCAGGCTGGCAGAATTGCTCCGCTTCTGTCCGGGCCAGAAGAGGATTCTGTTCTCAACAGAACCGCTCCGCTTCTGTTCGGTTCAACAGAAACCCTCAAGGTATTCTGTCCGCAACAGAAGGGATCAAAGAAACCCTCAAGATATTCTGGTCGCAAACGAAGGACTTGTGGACTTCTGGGCCGTTACAACGATAAATGCCCAACGTTCTTCTCTTTTAATGCTGAGTTAAATGGACAATTTATGGACGATTCAATGCCCAACGGACTGGTCATTGATGTCCAACGTTCAGGTCCATTAACACTACATTTTACATACAACAAATCCTCCTATAAATATCTGGCAGGTGCTTTGCAACCACACACGGTTTTACACGTTCACAAGCAACCATACACACGTTTTAGCTCTGAAAAACACCTGCAGCTCTCCGAAAAATTCCTCAGTGTTTCTCATTTGTTCCCGTTCGCCGGAACTCTCGTTTGTGTGCTCAAATGTTAGTTCGTTAGCCACCGTATCCTGGGAAACGGTCGTTGCAACGCTCCTAGCACCGTGGGAGGTGACGAATACGTTTTAAGGACATCGTGCGTAGCACGACCTCTGTCTAAACTCTGTCCCATCTCTTTTTCTGTTTTTCTTTGGCTATTTATTTATTAATTAATTTTATTTAATCAATATTTCTTCGTTTTTCCGAGACACACCCAACAATTTTTACAAATATTATAGTATATGTTCTGTTAAATGTCAACATCATGTTAAATGCCAACATTCTTGACTAAGATGAGTTTCAAACATGTGACTTCCTCCTTGGGAGTATCACAGTAATGCCATCGAATTACAAGGTGTTTGACATCCTTACCATATAATAATAAACCATTTTATTCCGTCATAAAAAATCAAAATAAACTTAGAGTTTTCTTATAAGAAGAAATTTTTAAATTACATTGTCTCACTTTCTAAATATTGTATCTTAACAATAGTGTCTTCTTTTTAAGTTTCCGATCAGAGTATGGAGAAAGTTATGAGACAAAAGGAATACATTTTATATATTGACCCCATTTCTATAAAAAAAATTGTGGTGTCAATATCAAAATTTTCAGTTCATATATACATATACAATAATTTTTCTTTTCTTGTGTCGTCATTTGACATCACATGCCAATACCTAGCTCCGTACGGTATGTAACTTGCAATTGGTGTGATCTCGAGCAAAGCACAAGTATAGCCGAGGGCTATGGCACTGTGCGAAGGCATTTGAATGCTCGAAACACAAAGGGGAAGGGCACACAAACAAAAATCTTAAGGTTTGTAAATTCTCAACTTTTTGATAACTTCATTTATAATAATGAACATTTAGGCGTTATTCTATAAAACTATTAAAAAGATGTTATTAGGAGATATGATCTTGAAAAGGATAGATTAATCAACTTTGTCTAGTTTTTTTCAACCGTGTTACTATTTGTTCTGATATTTGAAAAGATAAGTATCATCATTTGTATTATTTGATAGTAAATGTGCATTATATTGATAACGATTGGGTTATGCATAAGAGATTATTGTTTGTAGAGAATTTAGTGAATATAATTTTGCGATATTTAACTGAATATGATTTGATTGATTAGGTGTTTATTTTTTGATTTGATAATGCAACTAATGCCTAGATTGTGTGAATTGTGTGTGTTGGAAGAAAGTAGTTTAAGGATATTATAATTGGGTGGTTGTGTGTGGAAGAGAGAATTTTAGAGAGAGATAATTTTGGGAGAACTTGAAACTTTTATTGATTTGGAGCTTTTGACTTATGTCACAAATGAGTGATGAGTGCTCTATTTATAGGTCTCATAGGATCCTTCTAGGCACTCCTACTTCCTTAACCTTCTACAATATTCTATAGGATTCTAGCTTGAGAACATTCTAGAACTATTTAGGTTTTTTTTTTGGGAAAAGTAGATTTTATTGAGAAGAAGTAAACATTACAATGCGAATAGGAAATAAAAGAAGAAAATAAAGCATAACAAAGAAAATAAAAACTAAACCCAACCCAAGGAAATTCTCTTGACTGAGACCTAGTAGTCATGATGTGACGCCTTTTATTCTTTAGAGATTTCCTGTAAATTTTGGCTTGCGTGTTTAAGTTTTTTGTTGGCAGACAATTTTCAGAGGTAACAAACTTGGATTTCCTGCAAATCGCCCTGTTGAATTTTGATTTCTTAATTTCTTCTGGAGTTGATATAGGGGGACGTCGATCGCTTTCAGTGGCATGTCCCATAAAATCATACATGTAGCTAGAGTCGTCTGATTGATAAAAGTGGTCTGATGCGTCTGAATAAGCCTGAACAAGGCCATGTCGTTCCACTGGAGTTGGAGACCCTTGTTTGTGTGAGTGAGCTCCTTGAATTTGGGAATCTAAAATAAGCTTGGATATTGGTGTTTCCTGCACTAAAATAGGTAGTCCAACAAAATTGGAAAATATAGCCAAAAAATCTTTTAAATTGGAGTTATGTGGCCCCATCGGGATTATTATGAAACTCCCCTTGTCCTTAGCAATCTGCAAATACTGGCCAGAATTGTTGAATTTTGAAGAGACCGTTATAGAATCAAATTGTCTGCTTTCCCTAATATTTTTTTATCCGTGATTGATAAACTGGTAGATGTCAGGTGCTTGTTCAATTCTGAAATTAATCCTGTGGAGCGAGGATTTTTTAATTTCAAAAATGACAATTTCATAGCCTTCCTCTCCATAGAAGTGAAAAATTTCACTTTCCTTGGATGTGCCATCCATCGATGCGAGAATTAGTTCAACGGGATCCCTGATTTCCGTTTTCTTGATACTAGTTGCCTTATCACTAATTAAAGAGTCCTGATGAGTAATAAAAGGGCTGCGCAGAGACACGTCGTTTGGTTTGTCTTTATCCATCCTCACTCGGTCAGCCCATGTGAGAAGGCCGGTACCTGCTATGCGTGTCTCCTCAGCCTCCTGACTGTCGAAGACTGGAACCGAGGGACCAGAGGAAGAGATGGCCAACCTCGCGGTACCAGCTGTGCGTGTCTCCTCAACCTTCTGACTGTCGATGAATGGAGCCAGGCTGTCTAAAAGTGGAGCCGATGGACCTGAAGAGACGGCCAACCGCGCGGTGGTCGCCGGCCTTGTGCCACCGTAGTCTGATCTTTTCATTTGGCTCCGATTTGGATGCCTAATTTTACTCACAACTCGACTGTGGTCTTCTACAGGTCTGTGAGTTTCATTTATCGTGGGCGAGGTGTTAGATTCAAAATCGAATTTGATTTCGTTTTCCAATAGTAATCGGTGGTAGCGATTATTGTTACACTCTGTCCGGCTGATTTCATAGTCTGTCCTTTGGAGCGAGGGGAGTCTGCGATTGGGATGAAGGGGATGCCGTCGTCCCCTGTAGGTGACGGTGCGCCAGCCATCTTCTTCCCCCGAATGGGGTTGTTGACGACTTTGAGCATTTCGTTTCCGTCCCAGTGAGTTTGGCCCTGTAGGGCGAGTCTTGGTCTATCTTCAAAAGGAGATAAGGCTGAGGGACCGTAAAAGTTTTGAGTGGGTGTGTAATACCTCGTGTTAGATGCGTTATTTCCATTCCTGCGAGTTTTGTAGGTAGGGGAGCTACGCCAGTGATGATGGGTTGGGTAGAGTCTTGTACCTGCTCGGGAGGAAGCTGTTCCTTTCCTCGTGAAACGTGTAGCAGGGGATGTAGTCTGAGGATTATCCCACTGTTGTTGGTAGCTCTGGCTTGTATACCCTTCGCTGTAGTGATGGTAGTTCACGGGTGGGCAGTTGCAATAGGCACACAAAAGGTGCTGTTGATTCCGGCGGTATTGGGGTCGCCGGATTGCCTTTCTTTACTAACTAATTTATTATTTCTCATACAACTACTAGCCCAATAAATTTACTTCTAATGGACCCAATTATTGGGCTAAGCCAAGTTTAATTTCTAACATCCCCTCTTAAACTTGACTTAGCAACACCAAGTAGATTCCGCATCTTTGTAAAGACATCATGTTTGAGTGGCTTTGTGAGAATATCATCGACTTGGTCTTGAGTCTTCACATACTCTACTTGAACTTCCTTCTCCGCTATCTTTCCTCGGATGAAATGATATCGAGTGTCAATGTGCTTACTTCGATCATGAAACATTGGATTCTTTGCCAATGCAATAGCTGACTTGTTCTCCACGAATACTGTTGTTGCTTCTTCTTGAGACATGTCGAGAGCTTGCAATATGTAGCGGAGCCAAATTGCATGACACACACTTGATGTTGCTGCAACGTACTCGGCTTCACAAGTGGATAGAGTGACAATCAATTGCTTCTCTGAAACCCATGTGAAAGCAGTGTTTCCCATTTAGAATACGAACCCAGTTGTGCTCTTGAGATCATCAATATCTCCACCCCATTTTGGGAGCATAGACTCATGGCAAGATCTTGCCCAACGCTTCATCACCCATTTCGCCGGAAGGAAGCGCACGAAAAAGCACTTCTCCCACCTCCTCTCTGTCAAGCAACAGCCTGACGAAACACTTCGGTCCTTCATTGACCGGTGGATGAAGGAGACAGACGAGGTCGAGGGCGCCGACGAGTGTACCCTCCTTGTCCTCTTCCAGGGGGCTCTCTGCAGCAGCCCCTACGCGCGGAGTCTCATCATCGACCCCCCAAGATCATACCTCAAAGCACTCCAGCGGGGGAGCCTATACGCCGACGCCAATGACCTCCAGTCCTTCAAGAAGGACAAAGGCCAGTCCTCGAAGAAGACAAACAACATGCCGGCCCTGAATGCGCCCTCGGCTGGGGGCTGAGACCATGGAAGCCACACCCAGCAGGGCCGGAATGACCGCCAATGGCGCCCTCGGCTGGACATGCCGAGGACCCCCCTCATGCACCCAGTGAGCACTATCCTCAACTATGCGGAAGAGCAGGACCTTTTCCCCAAGGACCCTCGGTCGGCGAGGGAGATCCTCGCCGTCCACCAAGGCGGCACTTATTGCCGTTACCACAAAAGCACCTCCCACAATACAGACGATTGTGTCTCGTTAAATAAGGCTATTGAACTCTTAATTCAACGGGGTGAGCTCCACCAATTCATCAAAAATGCCCCAAGGAAAAATGCCGGAGAGAACACTGATAAAAAAGAAGGGGACACCTCAACGAAGAAGCGTGAAATTGGGAGGTTCAGCGACGACGAGAAGTTCGAGGAGCCCCAACCGAAGAAGCGCCACCTCCGCTAATCATGTTCCTCGCCTTCGGCCTCGGTCTCAGCCTTGAGCCCTCGACCTAAAGGCACATTATCACCTCTCAGCCTAGAGCCCTCGGCCTCGAGCCGTGTATCTTAACAAAGCCGTTGTCAAACAATGCGCCCCTTGTATTCCGCTTATTTCTTATGAACTTAAGTAAAGGATGCACACAATTCGGACATCTGATCGGCCCCTTCAAGGCCAAATACCAAGGCATGGCCGGTGGTGTCCAAGGACGAGGGGCCTGCAAAAGGCCCACGTTTTTGGAGCGGGACACTCACCGCGTCGTCGGCGCGCAACGCACAACGATAGGCTTGAAAGAATGGCTGAGGTGATGAAATCCCCAAACTTGGGGGTGAAACGGCAGTCGTCGGAAACCGACCAAGCCTAGCCCGCGCCATAAATAGACGACGGGACCTCCCAAGGTCAAGGGACGGTTCAGCGTCGGGGGACTAACAGATGAATCCCCGGACGGATCACTTGGACCCCCTTTCGGCCGAGGCGGGGAAGTAACCCCCTCGGTCGAAACCTGAAAGAAGGAACACACATCACGAGGACTAACAAACGACCTCCTGACACGATCAAGGGACGGCCCGGCGTCGGGGGACTAACAGACGAACCCCCGGACGGATCACTTGGACCCCCTTTCGGCCGAGGCGGGGAAGCAACCCCCTCGGCCGAAGCCTGAAAGAAGGAACATACACCCAGAGGACTAACACGCGGCCTCCCGGAACTATCAAGGAACAGCCCTCGACCTCAACATCAGTCTACATCACGAATGGCACTGGACCTCAACGTGGTTCTACATCACAACGGCCCTCAACCTCAACATCACAATGACCCTCGGCCTCAGCGTGACTCTACGTCACAACGGTTTTGGCCTAAGTGTGATTTCACATCACGAACGGCCCTCGGCCTCAGCGAGACTCTACATCACGAACGGCCCTCGACCTCAACGTGATTCTACATCACCAACGGTCCTCAACCTCAGCGTGACTCCACATCACAACGTCCCTCGGCCTCAACATCACAACGGCCCTCGGCCTCAGCATGACTCTACGTCACAACGGTTTTGGCCTTAACGTGATTTCACATCACGAACGGCCCTCGGCCTCAGCGTGACTCTACATAACGAACGGACCTCGACCTAAACGTGATTCTACATCACCAACGACCTTTGGACTCAGCATGATTCCGCATCACAACGGCCCTCGGCCTCAGCGAGACTCTACATCACGAACGGCCCTTGACCTCAACGTGATTCTACATCACCAACGGCCCTCGGCCTCAGCGTGACTCCACATCACAACGGCCCTCAGCCTCAGCATTACTCTACGTCACAACAGTTTTGGCCTTAGTGTGATTTCACATCACGAACGGCCCTCGGCCTCAGCGTGACTCTACATCACGAACGGCCCTCGACCTAAACATGATTCTACATCACCAACGGCCCTCGACCTCAACATGATTCCGCATCACAATGGCCCTCGGCCTTACATCTCTTCGACATCAAATATTTGATGTCGGGGGCCATCATACAGGCCCCTCGGCCTTAGCCCCTCTGTCATCTTTATTTGATGCCAGGGGCTATCACACAGGTCCCTCGGCCTTCATCCCTCCGGCAGCTTTATTTGATGTCGGGGGCCATCATACTAACCCCTCGGCCTTCATCCCTCCGACATCTTTATTTGATGTCGGGGCTATCATACAGGCCCTCAGCCTTCATCCCTCCGGCATCTTTATTTGATGCCAGGGGCCATCATATAGGCCCCTCGACCTTCATCCCTCCGACATCTTTATTTGATGTCGGGGGCCATCACACAGCCCCCTTGGCCTTCGCCCCTCCGACATCTTTATTTGATGCCAGTGGCTATCATACAGGCCCCCGACCTTCATCCCTCTGGCATCTTTATTTGATGTCGGGGCTATCATACAGGCCCTCGGCCTTCATCCCTCCGGTATCTTTATTTGATGCCAGGGGCTGTCATATAGGCCCCTCGGCCTTCATCCCTCTGACATCTTTATTTGATGTCAGGGGCCATCACACAGGCCCCTCGGCCTTTGCCCCTCCGGCATCTTTATTTGATGATAGGGGCTATCATACAGGCCCTCGACCTTCATCCCTTCGGCATCTTTATTTGATGTCAGGGGCTATCATACAGGCCCTCGGCCTTCATCCCTCCGACATCTTTATTTGATGTCTGGGACCATCATATAGGCCCCTCGGCCTCCATCCCTCCGGCATCTGTATTTGATGTCAGGGGCTCTCACACAGGCCCACCTGGCCTTGCACCCCTCCGTCACCTTTATTTGATAACGGGGGGTCCTTACAGGCTCCTCAGCTTTTTCATGCAGGATCTAAGGCTGGTCTTGGATATCCCCTCAGCGGACGGACACAACCACCGCTCAACAATCTAGGCCGAATGGTGCATTCCTTTTGCTTCATTCTGGGGGCATCCGGTGTACTTTTTTTCCCTCATTAGGATTTTTTCCCACAGGGTTTTTCCTAATGAGGTTTTTAACGAGGCATCTCCCCATTATGGAACAAAAGGCGTCACCCCTCGGCGGCTCCTGCTGAAGGCATGCATCACTCTACTCCTGTTTCCCTCGATTAGCTCTCAGCAAAAGGAGTGGGGAACTGGGGTCTCCCCTCGGCAAAACACGCAAATGTTAAAAAATTTCTATTTCTCAGCTACAGCAAGCTGAGGCAAGATCACAACGACAATCTACTCCCTTCAGCAAAAAAATCAAACTTCAAAATTCTTATTCTTCAGTTGCAGAAAGGGAGCCACTGGCAACTTCAAGACACTACTCCTATTTCCCTCGAGAAACTCTCGACAAAAGGAGTGTGAGACTCCTGATGGAGTATATGGTCCGGGATACCCATGCCCACAGACTCCTGCTTCTTCTACACAAGCCCATCAAGCCCGATGAGCACACAAAGCCCAAACGTAGCGGCCCAAGCATGAAGAAGCCCACGTTGCACACGTGGATGCCTTCGGCCCTATGGCCGAGGGCTCCAAATTCTGGGAGACATCTTAATATGGTCCTGCAAAGCTTCTGGAAAGTCCTGGCTAAAATGTTAGCCTTCGGTCACACGATGCTTTCGGCCACACGATGCCTTTGGCCACCCGATGCCTTCGACCACACAATACCTTCGGCCACATGATGCCTTCGGCCACACAATGCCTTCGGCCACATGATGCCTTCGACCACATGATGTCTTCGACAACAGAACTATTGACGAAGATTCCTTTTAGAGACAGCCAACCATCGCATTTAATACGACGTCACATCCACCCACCGCATTTAATGCGGTGCACATGCATATGTCGATGCCACCTCGATTGAGGTGACCCCTCGACCGTTAGATTGTTGACACGTGTACTCTCATCGCATTTATAGCTGTTATACATAGCAACCCTTATTCACCTTGTAAAAGATCACAACGAGTTCATTTAATACATTTTGACTCTCTCTCTCTTACTTGTTGCTCTGACTTCTCTCTAGTTATTCTCCGCAATAACCCCTCGGATAAGCTACCCTCGGGTACACTATCCATCAATACCCATGTTTTTCTTGAGTAATCATCGATGAAAGTGAGAAAGTACTTACTTTTACCATGTGAACATGGAGTAATAATATCGCATAAGTTGGTATGGACTAACTCCAATGGCTCCTTAGCTTTTGAGGTAACTTCTTTAGGGAATGGTTTCCTTGATTGCTTCCCAAGCAGGCAACCTTCGCATAGCTGATCGGGATGA